CGCGGTTTTGAGCATATCAGCAAACTCTGGATGTAGAAGCCAGGCGATGAGGAATCGAAAAGGTTTAGTGCCTAGCGGCTGAAAGTGTTGTCTACTAAAGCCCAACAAGAGTGGTGAGTGGTCCGAGTGTATTCGTGGAAGGAGATGAACTCGCCCATTTTCGAATGCCTCCACCCATTCCGTGTTCGCCACAAAACGATCCAAACGTTCCGACACCCGACCAGCCGGGCCCTCCCTTACCCACGTGAAGAGGTGGCCATCCTTTGCCACCTCATGCATGCCGTGCGAGAAAAGCCAATCCACGAATTCCTGGCTGATATTACAAAAAATTGAGGATCCCCCAATTTCTCCGACCGGTTTAGGAGGCAATTAAAATCGCCCCCGACTAGCCACGGCTCCGAAATACCAGACTCTAGTGACGCCAAATCCACCCACAGCCGCCGGCGCAAAGTAGCTTGTGGAATGGCATAAATAAACGAGATTAAGCTGTCAACGCCGTTCTTAGTTGCCCGGACATGGATAAGTTGCTTAGTATAGTGTAGCACATCAATATGCAAATCTTCATTCCAAAGAAGCCAAATGCCTCCCGAGAATCCCCGAGCTTCAACACGAAAAGAATTTTCGAATTTACTGAACCTGACAAATCTGTCCGCTTTCTCCCCGCTTATGCGTGGCTCAAACAAAGCTACAATATCTGGTTTGCACTGATTAACTAAAGTTAAGAAGGCTCCCCGAAACCCCGGTGAACCTGCCCCTTGAACATTCCATGTTACGATATTCATGGGAAACAAACGTAAGGAAAGAAGCGAATCCGCTAGAACTCAAGAGACTGGGTGGTCGACTCCGAGACCTCCTCAATACCCATTGGATGTAAATTATCTTATGAAGGAGCCATTAAAAGCCCGCTGGAATTGGGATCCTCGGGCCATGGCTTTTGAAGTCGAACCCCACGGTCTCCTTCGGTCATTAAAGCGTCCCCAGCTGCGTCGACCGCTTCTATATGGAGGGTCGGACGTGTAATCGGGATATCCTCTGTAATTATGGCACGATGTTTGGTCGGGTCCAGTCCAGTACCTACGGAAATTGAGCCAGGTTCATGCGCGGGTTGAGCGGGGGGCGATAACTTGTCACTGAGAACAGTCCCCTTGGCCTTCTCCGATACATTGTGCTTTCTAGGGGTCGCTTCCATTGTCTCACCTATTTTATCACTGGGGCCCGTCGTCGTCTCGTAGTCCTGAGTAGTTGCACCAGATTTAGCTTTGCCCTTCTTCTTATTCGCTACCGCTTGCCATTCACGATCCTCCCGAGTGCCGGCGCGCCTAGTGTGTAATGCGGTATCGTTTAGAAGCTTCTCCGTTGATGTAGCCCCAAACTCGAATAGCCGGTGTGTATCCTGAGGTTCCTCCGTATCGAGAACATCGAATCGAGAGCCTTGCTTCGAAGTGGAGGCCAGGGGTCTGCCATTCTGTGCCTTAGACATTCCCGAATCCCGCCATGTATACGGTCGTCGTGCACGTTGCGGGACCTGAATCCACGGGCCATACACCGACTCGCCATTGCTGTCTGGCGAAACCGCCGCGGGACTGGGGCCTCCATTCCCCCCAGTAGCCTGCCCATTCTTCCCTACGGGCACATGTTCAGTTTGGTTTACCGGCCCTGGTACATGGACATGATGAGGACAAACACTACCGGAATGTCCCACTCGTCCGCACGTGAAACAGATGACGGGCAAATTCTCATAAACTACTCGTTGTTGGCGTCCATTGATGGCAAAGTTCACTACCAGCAGCTTCGTGGGGTCCACCAAAACCGCAAGACGTGCATACTTTCCCCACGTCCGGGCTGCAGTTTGTTGATCAATTTTCACCGCTTTTCCTACAATTTGGCCCACCGTGCGAAAAATCTTCTTATGATATAGATGGGCCGGCATGCCAGACAAACGAATCCACGCAACCGTGGTTGTGACCTATGCCTTCGTTGCGTCGAACTCAAGGGTCAAAGGTTGGACATGCAAGTAGCTTCCTCCAATCACATACGGCCCCCCAGTGACAACACTCACCGCGTCCTCCTGACTGCGAAAATAGATGAGATAATATCCGTTTTCAAGGTCCATCATAGTGCAGCTCGCCATAAATGGCCAGAGCTTTGTCAGCCGGTTATATAGAGACGCCATCGTGATCGAATCATCAAACGGTTTAACCACCACGACGTGCTTCCAGTTGTTATTGATACGGTCGAAGAAAAGTTGGCCAATCGTGATTTCTGGCACCGGGCGACCAAAAACGACGGAGACATCATCCCCCCCTCTTCAGCCTCTTCGTCGTCTTCCACAGTCAAGTCTACATAGTGTCGGTGTTGGTTGACCATATCCCAGAAAGTCCAGCGCGGAGGGGCAATTGGGGATTTCAGAGGTATAGGGTTTTGGGGTTCCAACAATTCCTCAGTACGCTTACGGATTCTAGACCGTTTAGGGGCATGAAGTAGGTTTCGGTCGAGGGTGGGAAATTCCGTGTCCGTGTGAGAGGGCGACGGATCGGCCCTAGGGTCGAGGTGTGCCGTGCCGGAAGTATTGCTGCTGAGCGATTTCTCGATGATAAGGGTTTTTCCGTTCATGGTGCTTATCTCAATGTGTGACAATATTGATTTGCCACATAGGATTCTGAAGCGTGTGAGTGTGCCATTTCGGAACGCATTATGTAATTATATAAAGGATAGGATAAGATGGAATATATATGGTGAATATTTTCAAAAATTATTTAAAAATTAAAACCATTTATTATTATTATTATTATTATTATTATTATTATTATTTAATTGTTAATATAATTTTCGTAGCAAGTACGGTATTATATTAATACTACATAAGTTATAAATAATGATTAAATTTTGCATTTGATGGGCCATGAACAGATCATCATCTCATCATCATTATCATCATCGTCATGCCATTATAAAATCTCTTAACACATTATCTCGGGGGTTATGAAACCCGGAAAAATCACAAGACCTGCAACAACAAAAATCATAATTGGGGAGAGAGAAAAGAGCGGCGTCTCTCGGTTTCATCTTCTTCGTTTGCTCTACCGGTAAGTTTCTCTTCACTCGTCCCTTCTCTCTGTACTTGCAAAATTGGTGTCTGTTTGTTTTGGTTGCCTCTCGTTGAGATGCGAATCATGCGATTATCTGCTCTTGCTTGTGCCCCTTTATGGTATTTCTGTTTCCCTGGTCTACGGCTCATGTTTCCTGGTTAAAATAGGAAAACTTTTTCCGGGTTTTATGTTGATGACCTCTAGATTGCGGGTATCTCTCTCTCTCTCTCTCTCTCTCTCTCTCTCTCTCTCTCTCTCATGTTTAATCATTATTTTCGTGGGTTTTTTCTGTACCAATCCTGGATGGATGTTGTTTATGGTTAGGTTACGAGAATGTTTTGGAAACTTGGGGAATAGTTTCGTGGATATACCTAGAAATAGAACTCTTTATGTGGGTTACATATGAACGGAGTGACTGTATAAATATTGCTAATGGTAGGGTGTTGAACTTTTGCTGGCCTGTGTTGTTAATCAAGCTGCTTGGATTGAGCTTCAGTTATTATGTTTCAATTGCTGTGGCATACTCTTCTTGTGAGATGTACGGCTAAAGATATCACGGGACTATATGGATTCATCAGCTGTTCTAAATAGTGGGAGAATTATTCTTCTAATAACTGTTTTCATGGGGATGTGTTATTATCTTTGACTTATATGTGATGCAGCATCATCGTGGGGTTTTCGTGGAGTATCTATTGTATGTTGTATGTTATACTATGTCATATTCATTTGTATTAATTTATATGGTTTCAGTTGGAATTATTGTCTTGTTTTTCTCTTTCACTTGTTCCATGTCTAAGGGTTCTTTCTCACCAGTCTTATTCTCCCTTTGCTGCCAGGTTGCGTTACATTTTGATTCAAAAGGATTAATTTTATCTATGACATGGAGCCAGTTTGCATGTGGTCAGATTGCTACCAACACAAGGTCTTTTCATTCCAAGAAGTTCTTGACTGGCGATTTTCCATCCTTGGGGATTTTCTTCTTGTTTCTTTTGTCAATTGCACTTAGTCAAAAGCTATTTCCAAGTGATCAGGACGGGAGGGTGAATGCGTGTTTCTTATAAAGTAGATGATGAATCTTTAACTCACTTCTACTAGTGAGTTGCATGACCCTGTATGTTCGAGAAGTTTCTTATGCTGTCACTTCCATTACGCCGTTGATCTTCTTTTGCAATTCTGTCACTTATAGTGCATCGTTGGTGCAACGTCCCTTTTCTGATATTTTGGAATCTTTTTTCTGAGGTACTTGATGGTTGCTGCTATCTAGTTATTGCAAATGCTTACTTTTGTTTTGTAGTTTACTATTAACCTTATGACTTAATGACCTCAGCTTGAGTTAGTTTTTGTTTTCCATTTCATCCAGGACCGGAGTCTCTTGAGTTGTGAAAGCAAGTTTACCATCATCAGAGTATTACGTATCTGTTGCTCTGTACAGAGTGATATCTTATAATATTCAGTCATCCTTTTGTGTTATACTCGATGGCCAGTTGACAGAAGCTATATTAATTTGACTGAATGCTGCATCAAATTCATTATCTTTGCCTTGGAACATAATGACTGGAAACGTTGATTGACCTTGTCTTTACCCGATACATGATGCATTGTGCAGCACTCAACATTGCTGGTCAGTCTTGATCAGCATCAAGATGTTTTACAGTACAGCATTACCTCCGTCTTGTCCTGGGTTCAAAATCTTTGACTTGGCGTATGTTGTTGACAAATGCCTGAAGCCTATTGATCATAATCCTGTTGGTTTTGCTCAAGTACTGTGGACGAATTGATGGTGGATTCTTGCATTAGCCACGCCTCTTGATAGTTTTTGTTTGCAGTCTTCAACAGACCGTAAAAGCTTATTTATCTTTACCTTTTTTTTGACATCCAATAAGTAGTGTTCACGAGCTGTTGAATCACAAAATGGAAAGGTGGGATATCTACAAATTTATTGTTACTGCGACTGCTTTTCGGTTTTTTTCCTTGGTTGATTCAGCATCATAATGGTCAATGCAGGTATAATGTCATTAAGGAAGTGGGTAATGGCACATTTGGAAATGTCTGGCGAGCTCTAAACAAGCAGTCTGGTGAAGTGGTATGCCCGTGTTAAATTTTTTATGTTCCTTTGTTGTTGAATCAGATAGGTTGTTATCCTTTGAAATTGAGGATACATGGAACTAAAATTCTCTGTAATACTAATGATTTCTTGTAAAGGTCGCGATCAAGAAAATGAAGAAAAAATATTACTCATGGGAAGAATGTATAAATCTTAGAGAAGTGAAGGTAAGAAGTATTTCTTTCTTGGTTTTATTCTATGATATATATATATATACATATATATATACATATATATATATATATATATATATATACATATATATACATATATATATACATATATATATATATGTCAGATGAATGACATGGTTATTTTTGGCAGTCACTGAGGAAAATGAACCATCCAAATATAGTGAAGCTCAAGGAAGTTATAAGGGAAAGTGATGTCTTATACTTTGTTTTTGAGTACATGGTATGCTCTGTTTTTCCTTTCGTCTTGCCTTTCATTTTTCTGGGCGAAAATCCGTCTTTTTTTAAGAATGCAGTTTCTATGTTGACGTCTTTCAGGAATGTAACCTTTACCAGCTTATGAAGGACAGAGGAAGCTTCTTTTCAGAGACTGAAGTGAGAAACTGGTGCTTTCAAGTATTTCAAGGTCTTGCGTATATGCATCAACGCGGATATTTCCATCGTGACCTCAAGCCAGGTTATGGATACGTGGTTTTGTTTATTTGAATGAAGATCCCACCTAAGTTGCATCATATCTTCCAAGCATTTGACTGTGATCTGTGTCGTATGTGATACTATCTCAATACTTTCAGTATTTTGTCTCTTGTTGGTTGAGTTTTTGGTCTATTTCTTTACTGAAAAATCAGACTTCATCTCAATATCATCAATCCTTTTATTCTGTTTGGCCTTTCCATTAATTAACTCATGCCAATTGTAAGTCAGTATTAACCTTTTGAGGTATGCATCAAATGAGGGAGGTTAGTTGCGAATAGTGATCCTTGCACATGCTGGTGATCTGTGTTATTTTCAGTACTGTTCACTTGCCCCTACGTTTTGACTGGATATGGTAAGCGTAGCTGATTCGTTTAGTTCTGGAACTTTAACAGAGAACTTGCTAGTATCAAAGGATAAGATAAAGATAGCTGATTTTGGTCTTGCTCGGGAGATCAATTCTCAACCGCCATTCACTGAATACGTTTCAACCCGCTGGTGTGTAGTTTTTTCCTGGTCTTCTATTTACTACCATTCTACATATTTTTCAATGCTTTATCCAATGTATGTTGCAGGTATAGGGCCCCTGAAGTTTTACTTCAGTCTCCTGCATATGGCCCTCCAGTCGGTGAGTGGATAACTCAAAAGCTGTTGTATTATTTCAAAGATATATATATATATTTTTTTTTATGATATTTGTATGCTACTTTCTTACAGACATGTGGGCAATGGGAGCAATAATGGCAGAATTATTCACGCTGCGCCCTTTATTTCCAGGTTCCAGGTATACATATCGTACATGAGAGCCGCCTTACTTTCTTACTTAGTCTATTGTCTGTGAGAATTGTTATTTTCCAACACTGCCTTGTTTTTTGGAAGCATTGGCTTATTGGAACACATTCATATTCGACCCTCTTTGAAATGATTAGCGTGTAGAGGCTAAATTTACTTGTGATATATGCTTTTAACTTTTGGATAATTTGGAAGGTGCTTGACGTCTTCTAATATTTCTTTTTTAGTGAGGCCGACGAGCTTTACAAGATATGCTGCGTGATAGGGAGCCCGACCAGGAATGAATGGACCGAGGGTCTTGGACTCGCCACTGCCATAAATTATCAATTCCCACAGGTGAACTTCACTTATTTCTAATTTCTCGTGAAGACAATATTTGTTTGTTTTGATTAAGGCTTTTGAAGATAGATCGATGACTTCTGTTAATTCATTGACAGATTTTAATATACTTAAAAGTTTGGATGTGCGGATGATCATCAGTGTTTTTGTCATGTTTTGTTGTAATTGTATCAATTTATATTTATCTTTTGCCCAACTGGATGGAACAGGTTGCTGGGGTTCATCTTTCTGCTCTGATACCAGGTGTTAGTCAGGATGCAATTAATCTCATCAAGGTAATGCTACTATCTCAATTTTCATGATGGGAATAAAAGAAATATGTTTCTTCAGTGTCTGAAACTAATTCGTTTGCTTTCCTGATTGTCCCAACTTTAGTCCCTGTGTTCGTGGGACCCATACAAGAGGCCCACATCCTTGGAGGTCCTTCAACATCCTTTTCTTCAGGTGGTTTATACTCTCTTTGTTTTAACTCAACCTCTTATAAATTTGACCAGCATCAGATAAATGTGAATATATTATAGTTGATTTCTTTAGTCCTAACAAATGCTTTGAAATTTGACAGAGTTGCTTTTATGTTCCTCCATTTCTACGCGTGAAAGCTGCAATTCCGAGAACATCTCCTCCTGGTTAGACTTTGCAATTCATGCAATTAACTTCTCTTTGTTGTTGGATATTATGAGGTTAGAGAATTCAGAAATTTTCTCCTTGCAGCTGGAACAAGGGGAGTATTGGAACAGAATCATGAGAGAAAGTACATGGAATGTATGTCAAACTTCAGAGCAGAAAACAATTTTCCTCCTGGAAAACCACATGCGTACATGGTTCCAGGTATAATATATTATATAGTAATTGTTTAGCATATTTACTGATTGTTATTGGCTTCAGGTCTATTAGTTCTTTCTTTCCCATTATAAAAATCCTCGAGTACGTGCCTTTACTTGTTGCTTGTGATCCACTACTGTGGTTAAACTAAATTCATCCGCTTAGTGTTTCCTTGAAGCATGGACTGTAATACATTTAGCTTGGTTTGAGCCTACTCTGGTTTCTTCGAAGTTGAATGGATCAATTATTTCTCTTTTATTTTGTATATTTGTCATATATCTGTCATGTCTGGTTCTCTGGGTTGTGTGGTTTGTTGAAAACGATCAGGTTATGACATAGTTCCAAATTGTGCAGGTGCTCAAAGGAAGTTGGGCAGGAATGATCAGGTAATCTCAAGCAACTTTGCCAATATGTAGTTATCTCATGTCATATATTCCTAATAATTCTTCAATCTATGAATGGCCCCAGGATTTGTCGAAAAAATGCAAGGACTTAATGAACTATTCTAAGCCTCAGCCAAGATATCAGCCACCTGGAATAAACGGCCCATGTAAGTTTCTATTACCTTATTCTGTTCAGTCATAGGGAATCTTGATAGCTGGCAGTCTCATCTGTTTCAATTGATGGACTAATTAGATAACCGCTAGTGCATTGCATTTTTTTGTTGTACCATGGTTTAAGGTTTTGCACGGGATTCTGATGTTTGGTAAATTGCATTCATTACAGCAGCTGGCAACCTGGGGAAAACGCGTGGTGTGGAGGATACTGTCGATAAGTTTGCTGACATGGCAGTGGGGTCCGTGCCTCCACCTATGAAGGCTGGAGGTTGGCATGGGCAGTCCAATTTGTTTTTCGGGCGTTCACAAGAAGTTATTGGCACACGAGCAGCTTATAACAGGAAGGTGGCTGGATGAAAGGAAATGGTTCGGACACGTTTCTATGCTTCTGTGTGCACGTCGCTTGAAGTTTTGTCATTTTGTGTGATTTTATTCAGTTTCTTGTTTTATGTTGGGGTGGCTTTCGATTTCGTATTACATTTTATCTGCGTGGATAAAGTTGGATTTGATTTTTGTTGCATTACTTAAAATCAATAAAATTACTTTGGCATCTCTGGGTTACCTAATTTCTCAGCCATTTTTAGGGACTCAGTAAACTGAATGAAACTAAGGGGGAATTTAAGTATGAATGCAGGCTTGTGGATGATTGGCAAGGATGCTTAGGGCGCGTTTAGATATGAGAGAAAATTGGTTTTAATCGATTTTGATTGATTGATTGGGTTATTTTGTTTTTTATCTTTTATTTCAAAATTCAGTCCAATTCAACTCAGTTATTTTTATATTATTAATACTAGTTGACCGGATGGCTGTGCACGCACAGTCGACTCTAGTTCAGTCTATTATTATAAATAATACTCAAGAAAATTTTAAAATATATACCGATCTTTTATGGCATTTATAAATCTAACTTCAAATAACTTAACAACAATGAATAAAGAGTTAAACAATGCAATAATATAATAAGATATCTACCTATTTATAAAAGCGTTAATAATTTTTTTCGTTTGAACACAATATTTGAGAAGCTGTGTTTTAAAAAAACAAAAAATTAATATTCACTGTTAAGTACGACAAAGTTGTACCAAAGTTCAACCTTAAACACAATAATTTCAATTCCATCACGTGCTATAGACAAACAGAACCTTCAACGATGTTTACGATTATAAAGTTACTGCATCTATAAACCTTCATTACTTCCTTCCCACACCGTGACTATATCCATGACACAATCAATAGTGCCAACCCTAAGTATGACTGTCGTTGCTTGGCTGTGGAAAAGTTGTATTTTTTTCACTCCAAAGCGGCATTGGAATGGGCTAAAAATTGAAAAAAGTAACAGATATTAATGTTTTGAAATTCACACAATTGACAATTTAATGGCATGCTAATATTGAATATAAAATTCTTACCAGCAAAGCTCGTTTTTTTTCTGTCATAAATGAGCACTTTGAAATGGAATAGTCTTGCGCATTCAAATACCAAGAAGCATCTAATGTTTATCTTTTCTGCCTGCACAAAACGACTTCAACCTTCTTCTGCATGCAAAAAATGACCAACTATTGTTGTTAAATTTTATACAAAAGCATTTTTTATTGTAGAATCAGTGCACATGCTGCAGCTTCCAACTGGTGGTTCGCATCCCCATCTTCATAAGTCTGATTCAAAAATAATAAAAAACAACCTAGTTAACGATCATGAGAGGGAGAATAAAACAGTAAAAAGAAGCACAACCCCTTATCAATCAAATCTCAAACTATAAGATTAAGATTGTACTGATCTGTGGACTTGTTGTCCACAGATGAAAAATAAATAGCATCAACATTCTCAAGATTACTGATATGCCACTATAGACATGACACAATCAGCTGTAGTTTATCGTCTAGGAGACCTTCCTCTGAAGTCTCCAGCTCTATCACCTGAAAGGTGCTGATATTAAGTTCCACTATCATAAAAATAGGGATGCTTCAATTGAGTAACACTATAATTTTTTACGGGTGCTACGAATTAGATTTTATTGAAAATGAAGTCACATAAAAGCATGATGGTTGCATTTGATGTGAGGAACCCAAACAAGAAACCTACAGGGCTACAAGGTTAAAGGAAGACATTTCGTATTTGATAATGATTAAAAATTAATTTATGTTACTAACTGGTACCTGAGTTCGTAATTTGATAATTTCATACTGGCAACAGATTCCCAAGTTGAGGACAACCAGAATTCAACAGAAAAATAAGATAAATATATTATCCCCATGGATATGCAGATTTCAGGTAATAGACAATGCAGAAATAATGTTAAAACTTTAACTCTCACTGAATTTACCTCTCCTATGTGTGAGTATCATCTTCCATGGAAACATTTTGGCACATAGATATATTGCAACCTCTGTTTTCGTCCTTTTTTTTTTATATTACACTGCAAAATCTATGTTGTCCAGGTTATTATTATAACTATTATAATAGATTTCATTGATGGGTTAGACTACATCCTTAGCATTCTAGAGTAGAGAAGTTACTTGTGTTCGAGAATATATTGGCTTCCATTACAAGTGTTTTAACACCCAAAATCACAAGATCTATCGTTACAGCAGAACTACATGTAGTTCAAGTGTCACCACGTGCCCCACATTTCACCTTCAACATCATCATATTACTAAATTCGTAAACACAAAAGAAACTTTTTCTGAACAACGCTAATCCCACAGGATCATAGAATTCAATATGCAGCTTGAACAGTGCTTAGAGACAATCTATAAATAAGGCTTGAAAGCTTCATTGTAAAGGATTGGAAGAAGATACTTCCAAACATTACAAGAACTCTACCAGAGTATTTTGCCGACCCACAGACTATCCCTCTACCGATCTAATGCTCAGTTCATTAGCATATTACTATAAACTTCTTAAATCCCCATTCATTTCTTTTAAATAATTCGTCACAAAACTCAAAACAACAAGAAATTAATAATTCTTAACATCCAGTAATTTATTCATGTGTGGTTTTACCTACAAAATCCAGAAAAAATTAAACACCATGCTAAAATCTCAAATTAGAGATAAATCTCTTATTTAAGTCAATACAAAAGCATACCATAACAGAACAGACAAACAAATTAGTTACCTGTGGGGCGGGTATACCAGCCTCAGGCCGAGAAGCCGGGCACGCAGCATCGTCCATATTTTCTGATAGCAAGAGTTTCTCCAATATGCTAGGAATGGACTCGGGCTCATCTAAAAACATGATGCCCTGACGAAGGAACAAATAAGCAAGGGATGAATGCTGCGCACGGTCCATGATAAGAACACGGAAAACCTGCAAGAGGTAAAGCACAGTGAGTGAAAAAACATCTCAAAGGATTAGGATTGAAATTAGTCCAACCTGAACCATCAAAAAACAACCACATCTCACACGTTAATAAATAATAAACCTTTCCCCTAAAAATTCACATGATACCACATGTTTCATTATCCATTTATGTTCAAATCTAAAAACGGAGCTAAATATTATTTGTGTAGTCGATCATGTAAATAATTCAAAATTAGTCTTATTATAACATAAATAAATCAATACAAATTAGTATATAAAATATTAGATACCCTGGAACCATTTGGATTCTTATATACTGCTTTCTGCTACATTAGGACATTAACAGAAAGCCATGGACAAATATCACACACGCACTTTCTAAATTATTCTATGAAAGAGCAATATCATATAGATTATGCGAACTGGAAGAGCACGATTGAAGCATACAAGAAAAAGATTGAAGTGTATGGTAATTTAACTTAAAAGGGGCTGTGATTTGGCCTTATTTGTTGGAGTTAAGTCTCAAAATTTACACCAATTTGTAATATCTATTATCTGTATTGTTATTTTCGCTCTAGATTGTTGACATTAATTTTCAACCATTTAAAACAATAACGCGACCCGAGTGTTTTTTAATTCCCGATCGCAGGAAGAACTTCACCTTCGAGCTCCGGATCCATGTCCAGTTTCTCAAATGTCGCCAGATTGTCCAGGCACTCCTGATACCCTTATCACCCTCTTCTATTATTATCCTCAATATGTTTACAATAACAAAAATATTGGTTTTGAAATTACTTTAGTCATATAACACAATAATATTGCAAGTTTTAAGTATTCTTTTACAGCTTTGGATCATCTCTTCTTTTCGCTTAATAGATTTCCCATGAAAACTACACTATTAATAATATTTATGAAAACTACACTATTAATAATATTTATGTTTATCATTATCTATTCGCATTACATTCTCCACAAGTTGAGTAGAATAACGATGCTCAAAATTATTGTATTCTTACGACTCAATCCTTCATGTACCGTCGAGCCAATACAAACAATAACTTGGACCGCGTACATATCCTTCAGATTAGCTTAAACACAATTCAAAAATGTAAATAAGATTACTCACCAAGGTAAAAGCTTCTTTTTCGCTAGAATCACATTGTTGAGCTTAAGATCATATCTGCCAAGCAAAAAAACCACATTAGCTTCAATGATACGTCATCAGACTCTACTAAATCACGGCTAAACACACAAAAATTAACCTCAATAACAAATGCCAGATAAAAGGTGATGTTCCAGCCAATTTACCTGAGCATGAGCGACTCATCTAACCTGTTGCAGTGGGTGGATGCCTTGACACGTCGAAATGATCTATTTTGATGAGTCCTGCAAGCTGCAGCTTCACTCCGAGCTGCTCCCAGCATCTTTTGTTGTTCCACAAGCTGAAACCGACAAAAAAAATAAATTAACATCACCAATTACTCGGAAAAGTAGAGTAATTAGTTGTTGATACTAAAAGTAAGAAAGGGACACATACTCCGTTCATCATGGCCCAAACTCGCACAAATAAATCACAGGCGAAAAACAAGTTTTCTTTATTTATCATCCGACAAAAAACAAGCAAAAAACTATACCATGCCCATGGCTCTCAGATCACAAAAACAAGCAAAAATATTGAATGCGAAGAGTAATGCTAAAGACCCTATGTACACATTCAAATTAGCACAATAGCTCTCAGAACATAAATAGAATAATCATAAACAGGAACCAACCTCCCTCAGCGGCAATTTATCAAGCCATTAAATAATTCTATGTTAGCCTATAATGCTGATGCTTAACATAGTCTATAATGTTTAATTAAATTTGAAGGGTCACAGTACTGT